CAAACAGGAACTTAAATTATTCAATTTTAATAACAAAAAATATTAAACCATGTAAAATAAAACACCACTCGAAACGACAAGCCGTGAGTGAGATAGAGGTCTCTTGGTTGTCAATGTCTCCATCAATGTGAGCAGTGTGCTGTGTTCTGCAGTCCTCTAATTAAAGGAATCCCCATCATGTTAGTCGTATTCCCAGACTTGTATTTCAGCACAGTCCGGCAGTGCCTGCACAGCCTTTTTTCTGTCACCTTTTCTTCTTTCTTGTTTCTTTTCAGAGAGAAACTAAAATGCTTCCACACATTTGATTTAAAACCCGCTTTAGGTTCGACCATTTTTAGCTCTTTTTCTTTGCCGCTACTAGCAGCAGCCTCCATTTCTGCATCTGTAGCGACAACAGACCGCAAAGGATGATGGCCACGCCTGGGCTGATGAAAATTGTAGTTTCCGCTACCTCTCATTCTTTCCATTTGCCTGAGCAAACTTTTCACCAAAAGACCTATGATTTTATTGAGTCACAACCACGGCAATATTGAAAGAAATTGGTATTGCGGTATTTACAATATTGTTACATCCCTAATGAAGAATACATGATTATATGGTGTCAAGTGGTAATAATGAAAATCAATGGGGCAAAAACAGCCACCAACATAATGAAAGGGTAGTCAATTTGAACAAAACACAACGGTTAAAATACTATAAAATGCAGATAAAATTATATATAATATTATCATAATATTATAAACGGTAGATAAAGCTATGTATTTTATGCTGATGTATGATATTTACAAGTCTTACAATAGAACTTTTTTTTGTTTGTTTTACAATGTACCATTTACATCCCTTTTTACCAAATCAAACCAAAAACCGTGACCACAAAACCAATACGAAACGAACTAGAGATTTTGTAAACGTGCCCACCCCTAACACATGTATAATCACAGACTCTGAAATCCCAAACCTTTAACCAAAATGAATTGTGTGAAGAAAGTGTCAGCATCATCCATCAGAGTGATGGGAAAAGAGCAACAGTAAGAGCAACACCTCCTCAATCTTGTAGAATAGCTTCAGCAACACTTTCCGCATGTGTCCTGATTGCGTTCAGCGCTGAGCGTACAGTGAAGAACAGCTGTGAGCAGATGATGGACGGACTGCTAAAGCCTCTCTCTCACCTCCTGATATTAAACAGATCAGTGTCAAAGTGGACCATCCGTTCGTCCGCTTGGACCCCCAGAGATAAGAATCGCCACTCGAAATGACTCTGAGTTTGTTTTTCCCATTAAAAAGCCAGGCTGAATGCACCAGCTCAGATTCTCTACTGCTATGTGAGCTGCCAAGCATTCAGATCGGCTGGTGGAACGGTGACTCTACATGCGCTCAAGACATTTAGCAAACAAGAAGGAAAACATGTAAATCGCTTTAACATCCCAGTTAAGCTTTATAGACTTCATGCTTATATCAGTTATAATGTTGCATAACAAGTCTCTATTCAAAGGTCTAAACCTGAATTTTACACTAAACTTGATTTACATAAACAAATCAACTATTAAAAAAGTGCCTTTAGCATTTAAAATAGAGTAATAACAAGTGAAAAGTGACTCTAATGTAATGCAGGGGTGTCAAACATAAGGCCCGCAAACGGGTTTAATCTGGCCCGCAAGATGATTCTGTAAAGTATAAACATAAGCTGCAATTTTTTACTAAAAGAAACTGCTGTTCCAATTGTGTCCACTGGATGGCGCAATAGCAAACTGTTAATTTAATCCAATTCACAAGCCTGAATCACCATTAGTGTGACAGCCTTCTCAGACAGAGAGCACATCTATGCCCTGCCATACCACACTGAGGTGTTCTCACGAGGAAACGTAACTATTTTACGTTTGGTCAATTGAGTGGCTAGTTTGTACGAGTTCAGTCGTATAAAAATGTACGATATATATAAAATTAGGCGTGGCACCCAACCACACCTCTAAACCCAACCGTCATTGGTGGATAAGCAAATCATAATAAATTGTACGAATGAGATTGTCCGAATTCATAAGTGATCAAAAGTTACGAATCGCTGTGAGATCGTGTTGTCCTCAGGCTCCAGTTTTTTATGTTGATTGTATTAAAACAAAAAATAAACATTCTGCAGTTGTTGTTTTTAAGTTACTGAGTTACCACTGAGTGGTTCGGTTCAGATCGGTACAAGTCTCCTTTATCAGGCTTGTGTCTCTGTGTAACTTTGACGACAAAGTTAGTTTGAGCTCGGGTCGACCATGGCTTGTTATTATACAGGGCTGGCGCGTCCATAGAGGCAACCCAGGCAGCTGCCTAGGGCGCAGTATGGAGAGGGCGGCGTCCGCGACACCTTCCTCACCACCCGCGTCCTCAGTTATCTTCACGCATAGGCGGCAGAATAGAGAGGGTGGCGTCAGCGACACCTCCATCAGCACCCGCGTGTCCTCAGTTACATCCGTGCATAGGGTGGCAGAATAGAGGTCTGCGACACCCGCGCGTCCTCAGTTATATGCGCGCATAGGGCGGCAGAATAGAGAGGGCGGCATCAGCGACACCTCCCTTAGCACCCGCGCATCCTCAGTCATATCTGCGCATGTAGAGCGGCAGAATAGAGGTCCGTGACACCTCACTTCATTTTCATAACCGGTCACTTTCGTTTTCACATTGGGGTTCAGGGCGGTGTGATCGTCCTCTGCCTAGAGCGGCAGTTCAGCTTGCTCCGGGCCTGTTATTATATGTATATATATTATTACAGTGTAATGTCTGGACTGTTTTTAAATATGACGTTTCCTTTGTTTTCCTTCTGGCTTGTCCCATGATCGAGTGACACTTCTCTGTAAACCAATAGCGTTCAGCTATGCGTCTAGCTCCGCCTTTTGGTATCCTTTTGCCAGGCTAGGTACCCTTTGCAAAGGGTACCCAAAAAGTCGTACGGTACGGTTCGCTTTTAGGTATCTGCAGACAGTGGAAACGGCGACGCAGTAGGTAGTGCTGTCGCCTCACAGCAAGAAGGTCGCTGGTTCGAGCCTCAGCTGGGTCAGTTGGCATTTCTGTGTGGAGTTTGCATGTTCTCCCTGTGTTCGAGTGGGTTTCCTCTGGGTGCTCCGGTTTCCCCCACAGTCCAAAGACATGCGGTAAAGGTGAATGAAAGTGTATGGATGTTTTCCAGAGATGGGTTGCAGCTGGAAGGGCATTCGCTGTGTAAAACATATGCTGGATAAGTTGGCGGTTCATTCCGTTGTGGTGACCCCAGATTAATAAAGGGACTAAGCTGAAAAGAAAATTAATGAATGAATAACAGAGGAAACGGCCATAAAAGCGTACCGAACTGAACCGTACCGTACCACCCAGTGGAAACGGGCCATTTTTGGTACCTTTTGACTGTAGAAATGGACATGAAAGTGTACCGAACCCTACTGTACCATACCACTGAGTGGAAATGGGCCATTAAAGGGGACCTATTATGCAAAAATCACTTTTATAAGGGGGTTTAAACAGTTGTGTGGCAAAAGTATTGGCGTCTAATGATAACAATATAGTAATTGTATAGTTTATAATCAGACTAGACTAAAACAGTCTGCAGAAAGACATCCTCTCTTTGTACGTGTTATCAGAGGGGAAAAGCCCCGCCCACTAGTCGCCATCTCTCCCTCATTAGCATAGGACGTTAGTCTTGTTTTTGAATCCGCCACTATGCTGACGCACAGGCATTTGTAGCTCCGCCCTCTTTAGAAAAAGAGCGCAATCTCATTTGAATTTAAAGCGACAGTCACCAAAATGACATAACAGTCATACAACAGTATTTGTGTTGTATCTTGAGCTGAAACTTACACACATATAAAACGTTTTGGACACATGGCCCACTGATAACCGTTTTAAATAATCGCGATTATGATTTATCCCATAATCAAGCAGCCATGGTTTAAAATGTTCACTAGTTCCCACCTCCTTCTTTGCCTAAAAGATGAAGTAAGAACGATGGATGACAGACCCAGTAATGCCATGTAAATGAAAAAGAGAAGCGGTCCAAGCACAGAGCCCTGAGGAACTCCAGTAACCCAGAAAAAGCCTTAGTGGTGTCATCCGGCGCTCAGGACCACCAGTGTGATGCCCTGACCAAACAAACAGCAGCAAATCAGCCCATTTCTGCCCCATTCATCCCCGTCAGAGCAGACAGCAGGACACCCACGCTGATCATTTACAGCCCAGATCCACTGAAGACCTGCTCAGTGTCAGCGGCTGATGACCTTTGATCTCTGCATCCGGGACGGTCAGTCGTCCTGCACGCTCCGTCTGCACTGACACTGAACAGCAGAGCTTTATCGGATCTCTTAAAGTGGTATTGCATGATATTGGAGCAAATCTTTCATTTTTCTTTGATAAATATTGCGATATCTATTTGATATCTAGTTTTCAGGTAGAGAAATTGAATAATCACAATGTTCAAAAGAGGCTTTTCTTCCTTTGCTTTGTCTAATTTCTAGTCTAAATATCTCTAAATTCTTGTGGATCAAGTAAAAATATTAATTTGTTTTCCTTTTCGGAAGAAACTAGTCAAAATAAAGAGCAACCTTTTTAACGAGCAGCATTATCTGCCAACGTGCAATGTTAAAATAATCTTATATTTGCTTTAAAATGCACAAAACAAGGGCAGCATGGTGGCTCAGTGGTTAGCACTGTCGCCTCACAGCAAGAAAATCACCGGTTCGAGTCCCAGTTGGCATTTCTGTGTGGAGTTTGCATGTTCTCCCAGTGTTAACGAGGGTTTTCTTCAGGGTGCTCTGGTTTCCCCCACAGTCCAAACACATGTGCTATAGGGGAATTGATTAACTGAATTGGCCGTAGTGTATGAGTGTGTGTGAATGAATCACTAGCTGTGCATATACATAGATTTTATCTATGCACACATTGTGAAAATGATGCTGCACTGATATATTGTGCATCCCCACTGTATTTCTGACTCAGAGATGCAGTAGCGATATGGGGAAAAACACACTTACGCTCAGGTTTCGGTCCCAGATCTGGATGGTCCCGTCCTGGCAGCCTGCGGCGATGAGTTTGCCGTCCCGGCTGTAGGTGCAGCAGGTGGGAGTCACTCTCTTGCCCTGCTGGGATCGAGGCTTGAACACTGATTTGTGCTTCTTTTCGGAGGTCAAGTCCCACGTGCGCACAGTCCTGAGAATCAGATGTAAAAAAAAAAAAACTCAAAATGTAAAATAAAGTATAAATTAATCAAATAAAAACACACGATTAATTACTTCAATAGTGAAAAAAAATTATTTATCTTACACTACACCGTAAAAAATGCTGGGTTCTACACAACTCCTTCATGTTGTCCCAACAAAAATTGACCAAGTTAACGTAAACATTTTTACAAACATAAGTTGATTGAACATAAAACAATTAAGTTGTTACAAAAAAACCTTAAGAACTGTTTTGTTTCAACTCATTTTAAATAAAGAGATGGTACAAGCAGCAGACGTCATTTTTCTGAGAGCATGTTCAGTTTTAAATGACTAAACATAATATCAGTTCTTTCTATCAGAATAAAAAGAATATACTGGTATGATTACAAATAATATCAAAAATAATATCATGAATTTATTATCAAATAAAAACATAAATTATTTCAATAATAAACAATAATATCAGTTCAATTTCTTTATCTTGTCATTTAAAACATCAGAGTAGATGTAATGCAGAACGAAATTACATTACACCCAGTACCCAGGTAATAAAGACTTAGACTTAAAAATGTATTCATCTGTTAGAATAGTTATAGAAAATTAATTTTAGATCAAAATAAAATGCATATTTAATTATTTAATAAAATACTAAAATGGTGTATATATCTATACACACATATTTTCTATCAGCAGGATCCAGTCTGGCCATTCTCCTCTGACCTCTGGCATCAATAAGGCATTTGCGCCCACAGAACTGCCGCTTCCTGGATATCTTCTCTTTGTCAGACCATTCTCTGTAAACCCTAAAGATGGTTGTGCATGAAAGTCCTAGTAGATCAGCAGTTTCTGAAATACTCAGACTAGCCTGTTTGGCACCAACAACCATGCCACGTTAAAAAGTCACTTAAATCCCCTTTCTTCCCCATTCTGATGCTCACTCTGAACTGCAGCAGATCGTCTTGACCATGTTGACATGCCTAAATGCATTGAGCTGCTGCCATGTGATTGGCTGGTTAGAAATTTGCATTTACAAGCAGTTGGACAGGTGTACCTAATAAAGTGGCCAGTGTGTGTGTGTGTGTGTGTGTGTGTGTGTGTGTGTGTGTGTGTGTGTGTGTGTGTGTGTGTGTGTGTGTGTGTATTTTTTTTTAATAAAACATTTCTTTTTTGGCTGGATTAAAAATGTTTATATAATTTTTATTATCAAAAATTTGAGCCTCTTAAGATTTTTTTTTAATTACTGTTATACATTGACTTGCCTAATTACCCCAATTTTAAGTTAATAAACCTAGTTAAGCCTTTAAATTACGCTTTAAGCTGAATACTACTAGTCTATTGCTAAATAACTAATATTATGTTCTGTCATCATGGCAGAACAAGGCATGTAAACATTTAAATAAATGAATAAAAAGTACAAGTTAAATTAAAAAATAAAAAGTAAAAATCTGTTAATAAAAAGTAAATGTAAAAAGTGCACGTTATAATTTAATTTAATTGTTGCGACACACTAGCACAGACGTCAACACGTATCCAAACTAACAGACCATACGCTAACACAGAAATGTGTAACTTTCTCATTTAAAAACATTGTCAGATCATTCAAGCTGCTCGCCACCATGTTCACAGTGAACGTCTGTTTGAGTTTGTCTGCTCTAGAAACATTCCTGCCGTAAATGAGGCAAATCATTATTGAAAGTGAAGAAAAGCGGAGAAAATTTGGTTTAAAAGCAGATGAGAGACATGAATGAGAATCTGAGAAACAGGAGAGCCCGAGAGCCTTCCAGAGGACATAAACATATATATTGCGCATTAATTAGGAGAGCAGATCGAGTGCTTGCTCAGTTGTTCACATTGTAGAGAACGATTATAAAGCCAATAGCAGTGAAGCGCAGGGTTTGACGCAGACATTCTTCTATTAAAATAATAATAATAATAATAATAAATAGGGTGGCACTGTCGCCTCACAGCAAGAAGGTCACTAATTTGAGTCCCGGCTGGCTCAGTTGGCGTTTCTATGTGGAGTTTGCATGTTCTCCCCGTGTTGGCGTGGGTTTCCTCCGGGTGCTCCGGTTTCCCCCACAGTCCAAACACATGCTCTATAGGGGAATGGATGAACTAAATTGGCCATAGTGTATGAGTGTGTGTCTGAATGTGAGAGTGTATGGGTGTTTACCTGTTCTGGGTTGCAGCTGGAAGGGCATCTGCTGTGTAAAGCATATGCTGGAATAGTTGGCGGTTCATTCCGCTGTGGTGACCCCAGACTAATAAGGGGACTGAGCCAAAGGAAAATGAACTAATAATAATAAAGAAACACATCAAAACCATCTGCCACTCTAAGTTGCAGTTATGTTTGTGTCATCCAAGAAAAACCGTAGCTTCGTATTTTATTTATGTTGTATTAAAGTGCTCGCTAGTTGCCACATCAGTCTTTGGCTGAATCATGAAGCTTGAACCACATCACACTATGTTTCTGAATGACAGAGCTCAGTAATGTCATGTAAATGGAGAAGAGAAGCGGTCCAGGAACAGAGCCCTGAGGTACACCAGTAGGTAGAATGGTGCGGCTCAGACATTTCAGCCATTTAAGATACTCTAAGGCAGGACAGGCGCGATTGTCCCCCCTCCACTCTCTCCCTTGACCGCCCCTCACATTGCAATTTTACCTTCTGAGCTCAGGCAAGCTTACATCAAATGTTGATGAAAGTCATCATGCTGCAGGTGTTAGGAGGAGTTTGCATGTTCTCCCTGCGTTCGGGTGGGTTTCCTCTGGGTTCTCCGGTTTCCCCCACAGTCAAAAGACATGCGGCACAGGGGAATTGGGTAGGCTAAATTGTCCGTAGTGTACAAGTGTGTGTGTGAATGTGTGTGTGGATGTTTACCAGAGATGGTAAGTTGGCGGTTCATTCCGCTGTGGCGACCCCGGATTAATAAAGGGACTAAGCCGACAAGAAAATGAATGAATGCATGAATGAATATTATTTATAGCTCTTATGAATATTATTATAGCTCTGTCATCTATACGCTCTATTAATGTTCTATATGCAGATTTACATCCACAAACAAATGGCCTGTACAAATGTTTGTTTCTCTTTGTGAAGTTTATTCATAAACTAATTTCGAGAGGATCACGTGCTTATGATTTATCACGGCCGGTCTCGCATTTACTAATCACTATCTTCCAATCATATGAGCCCTAAGCTACTATAAATAGCCACAGTTTTCAGTTCACTTTATCTTCGTTTGGAAGAAACCCCCCTCCTCCCCTATTCTGCTCCTTTACCTCTGATTGGGCGGCAAGGCAGCCCAGTGGTTAGCACTGTGAGCCCCACAGCAAGAACACTGCCAGCCCTGGTTCCACAGGACCGGTGGGTGTTTCTGTGAGGAGTTTGTATGTTCTCCCCGTGCCCGCTTGGGTTTTCCCCGGGTTCTCCGGTTTCCTCCCACCATCCAAAGACATTCAACATACATAACAATCAAGCTTTGTCTAATCCCTTGTGTTCCCTTAGCTACCGCAGCAGGGGAGTTCTGAGATCCACCGAGCTCAGGCTCCCCTCTTGCTCTGCCAACGGGAGGAAGCCCCGGGCTCGAGGAGCCCTTGAGCTTGGGGCTCTCTCCCGGGACAGCATGCCAAACAAGCTTTTATAAATCATCAGCTAAGTGTGAACTCTTGAATAATTTAGTATAAATTTTGTACAAACTTCACACAGGAAGTCCTGTCTTGAAGATGTTCTCTTCAACTGCGATTGACCAATCAGAATCAAGTATTCCTGATAGTCATTTAATCGTTACTATTACTGTATGGAAATGACTGTATGTCACTAAATAATAATATATGAATGCATATTGTACAAATGGAAAATAAATGATGTACAGCTACATTTGAGTGATTTTGGCGTCCCTCAGCAGTGGTGACTGAAATGAGCATCTCTGCGAGTCGCAAACGCAGGGAAATGAGAGAGGACAGTACATCAGCATGACAGGCACATGTGAAGGATCTGTGAAATCGCCATTCTCTTCCCTCCATCTGCTGAACACATTACAGCTGTCGAGCGGGACACGGGGAAATGCAAACACAACAGAGAAACATGAAGATCCTCGACCCGGGCTGACCAGACTCTTGTGGAGTAATGCGATTCACAGAACACAGATATAGAAGAGCACAGGACAGCGAGAGTCTAAGGACAGATGATCCTGAACATCAGAGTCTTCAGATCAAACATAAACACGCCTCCAATTGCCACCTGAAAACAAAACTAACTGTGGTTGATCACTTGACATGTCAATCAAACTGTCAAAGAGGGCAGGTCTTGATCAGAATGCAATGTGGATCCTATAACAGAAACATCCACGATAAGAGAAATTGGTTCGTTTTCCACATGTTGATGCCTTTCCAAATGTGGAAAATGCCCAAATCAGCTGGATTTACCACAGGTAAAGTCAAAAAAGCATCTCAAGGGTGATCAATAGTCATCAAAAATGCTGTGAATACTAACGTTGGATTTATTTCTTGCTTTTTCTTTGTAGTAATTTTGCAAAGATTTTAAAACTAACTCCTTTCACATTGTCACTATGAGCTATTGCTTGTAGAATTTTGAGGAAAACAATGAATCTAACCCTTTAAGACCTGGACAGCCACCTGATGCTAAGTGTTTGATAACATTTGATCCGAGGATGTGATCTGTAGCATTTAAATTCAAATCACCATTTACACTGACCGGCCACTTTATTAGGTACACCTCACTAGTACCAGGTCGGACCCGTTTTGTCTTAAGAACAGCCTTAATCCTTCGTGGCAGAGGTTCAACAAGCTACTGGAAATATTCCTCAGAGATTTTGCTCCATATTGTCATGATAGCATCACACAGTTGCTGCAGATTTGTCGGCTGCACATCCATGATGCCAATCTCCCGTTCCACCACATCCCAAAGCTGCTCTATTGGATTGAGTTATGGTGACTGTGGAGGCCATTTGAGTACAGTGAACTCATCG